TTTATATGAGGGCAAAACAGTAATTACATATTTTAAAAAATAAATTTTTTATTTTATTTTAAGTACTATTTTTTTTTTTTTAAAGTCAAGGGTATCTAAGTCTTTTTATTACTTTTAAGGTAAATCACTTTTAACCGTCTCTTAATTGAAGGATTTACAACTTTTGTTCTCTTCATTGAAAATTTCTAAAAGTTTTGTAACTTAATATTTTATATCTCTTTTTTCTTTCAGAAAAAGATAATTGAAAAATATAGAAAAAATCTTTATAATAAACTTAAATTATACTTGTTTAGAAATAAGATGAAATTTTGGGATAAATGTTTGGAATGAGTAGTATTACTCTAATAGAATTGACTAGAATAGGAGATATTAGAATTTAATGGTTCATACTTTTACATGTCTAATGTTACTCATTATTTAAATTGTGCATGGCTTTGTTTAATGGGTTGTGTTGAGATTTAAGTATTAGCGTAATATAACCGATGTATATGATGTTAACAGCCCTTAAAAAAAAATTTGCAAATAATAAAGTTGCTTTGCGCTTTTCAATCTAAATGGGTTCTTATTTTATTGTCTAAAATGGGCATGAGGCAACTAGGAATTTGATACAAGTGAGATAAATTCAACAATTTTTTTTTTTTTTTTTTTTTTAAAGTAGCAAATATTAAATAGTTGATATTCATTTATAATATTTTATATTGCTGTGCAACGGAAACACAAATTCTAACGCTAGCTATTGAAATATGAGTAATGTTACATCCACAACCTTTTTATACAAACTTTCTTTTACAAGCTTATGTGGCAAAAAATAATTGGGTAAAAGTTTATTTTAAATTTAAAATTACCTAATCATACTTTGCTACAAAAGTTTATGAGAGAAAATTTGTATTAAAAGATTGTGTGTATAGTATTATTGTTGAAATATAATAACTACTACTAAAGGGGAACTAAATGGCCAATAATAAATTCAAAAATAAAGAATACCAAAAAATTAACGAGGTTTGGTATTATTACCTATGTCCTCGGACGCTGCAAAAAACTCCACTATTCTCTTGAAGAATATTACAAATTTTTTAGCAATACTACAAATACACAAAATAAAAGAAATGTAGAAAAACTCTAAACTATAGGTAAAGAACCCTTTGTAATAAGAGTATAAGGGATAATACTTTTGGGATGATCAATAATACAACTTGGCCTCCTTTAGATAGACCTTAATTTCTCACCTCATTCATATTCCCACTTGATGTAGGATTGCTAATTATACTTTTCCTATTCGATGTGGAATTGCTAATTATCCCATTCCTACTTGATGTGGGATTACTAATTATCCCATTCCTATTGGGAGTGTGATTGCTAATGAGCTAATTTTTAACAAATCTCCACCTTGACAAATTAACAAACCTTCAAAGTTCTTCTGTATTCTTCTAAAAAATTTTGCAACACCTTCAAATGGTGCAATCAAACACATAGGTTCCATTTCATAGCTTGCCAATATCTTTTACTAGGATCATGTAAATGCATGCTCATAATTCCAACGACATGTGAAATGTTGGGCCTAGTAAACACCATTGCATGCCAATGATCAATCTGATTTCTTCTGTACTTTTGCCTCATCATAAACCTATCAAATTGCTTGTGCCACTGTCTTGATGACTTCTTTAGTAGCGATTTCTCCAATTTGCAAACCCAATTTTCCTTTCCAACAACCCTATAACCATCTGGCCGAGACATGTAGATTTCCTCTTCTAAATCACTATGTAGAAGCACGATTTTCATATCTAGTTGAGCTACTTCAAGATTCATATGCATTACCAAGGCCAACAAAATCCAAATGGAAGAATGTGTCACTACTGGAGACAATACTTCATCAATTTCTTCCTTTTGAGTGTATCCATTTGCTACCAACATGGCTTTGTATCGAACATCTTCTTTGTTAGGAAATCCCTCATTCTTTGCATACCTAATCATCTTATGTAGGGATCGCATTTTATCGTTCATGGCTTGCCCCCATGATTCACAATTTGAACTCCTCACCGCTTCTTTGAAATTGGTAGGAATATCATCACCTACAATTGGAAGTTGATAGGCCACCATATCAGCAAAACGAGTTGACTTTCGAATTTCTCATCTTGGTTTATGATATGTAATTTATGGTTGCTCTGGAGATTCTTGGGATAAAATATACTTTTCACTTTTAATGACCCTCTCTATCATAGGAGTGTCAACATTTCTAACTGGACTCACGAATGTTGTTTCAAACTTCACCTGTTGTCGAGTATGCTCTACTTGCTACAGAGTACTATTAACCTTTTATCTGGCTTCCTGTTTTCTTCTCTAACATAGAAGACTTATCAAATATCACATTCCTATGAAACAGTATTTTCTTCGAACTTGGACACTAAAGATGATATCCTTTCACATTTGAGGTAATCCTCATGAATACTGTTTTCTTTGCTTTATGATCTAACTTAGATTCTTTCACATGATAATAAGTAGTGGAACCAAAAACATGTAAAAAGTCATAATAAAAAATAGGTTTTCCAAACCAAACTTCTAATAGAGTTTCTCCCTCAATTTTAGTTGATGGTAAATGATTAATGAGATGGCATGCATTAGTAACTGCCTCAACCCAAAATTCCTTGCTTAACTCGACATTAGACAACATACATCAAACTTTCTCCAGTATATTTTGATTCATGCATTCTGTCACCCCTATTTTGTTGTGGTGTATTTCTTACTGTAAAGTGATATATTATACCTTTATCTTAACAAACTTTTAGGAAAAGGATCACTATGATACCCTCCACTTTTATCTATTTGCAACTGCTTGATCTTTCTGTCTGTCTGAGTCTCAATCATTTTTTTCTATTTAAGGAAAACCCTGAGTACATCATTTTTAGTCTTCATAGCATACACCACACTCTTTTAGAAAAAATCATCTACAAAAGTGACAACATAGTGCATACCTCTCAAAGATATTGTTTTGATAGGTCCCCACTTTTCAGAACAAACATAATCTAAAATACCCTTAGTATTATAGATTGCGGTGCCGAACTTCACTCTTGTCTACTTTCCTAGATCACAATGCTCACAAAAATTCAGCTTACAGGTCTTTGCACATTTCAATAAGCCTTGACTCACCAACCTAAGTAAGGCTTTTTTACTTGCATGCCCCAAACTAAAGGTGGCAGTGGGTCATGTTGTGCCAAAATTTTCAAGGCCCACCATTCCATGGGTCGTGCCAAGCCGTGCCAGAAAACCAAAGCTTTGGCCCACGGCCCATGGTCCGGTGGGCCTTGTCGTGCCGTACCTTCGTGGGCCGGTATAGGCTTTTCTCAAACAATATAAATATTTTGATTTTTTTTTTAATTTTCATAATTATATTTTATAAGAAATGAGGACGATACCTCTGAGATTTTATTAATGCTTCACTTATGGCAAAAGAATACCATGGTTACATGATGAAATTAAACCAACAAAATAAAAGAAACCTATGCTATGCATGGAATTATAAACTTATATGTTACATGTACAAGTATCACTAATTTTCACTTTCATCAATATCTAAAATCTTGAAATCTTCTAATATATCATCAGCAACACGATTTTGTATCTTGAAATTTGCCGTCACTCAATCTTTCATGCACATAATAGCTTTAATAACACTTGGATGTAAACTTGATCTTTTATCGACTAATACGTGTCTATCTGCATTAAAAGTTGATTCAGATGCTATAATAGAAACTGGAGTTGTCAATAAAAAATAAAGTATCAAAGTAAAAGTTTGAAATAAAAATATAAAGAATTTGGGTTTAGATACAAGAATGTCAAAAACTATTATTGAAAGGTGAGTTTTTTTTGGTTTAATAACTTTTATACAAAACACGTTCTATTTTCATAACCTCTACTTTTAAAACATTTATTCTCATAAACTATTCTACTTGAACAAGTCCAAATAAAAAAAGGAATATTTTCTTTATAATTGTCGTTCACCTTCCCGGAAGTATCTAAAAGTATCAGTAATCATCGTAATCAAATTATGAGAATGAATATAATAATTTCAATGTGGAGGTTTCTAACTTTGAAGCAAAAATAAATTAATAATTTTTCTCGTGTTTGAAAATGGAAAACACGTTATTTTTTTATTCAGGTGTCTTTCTAGAACATTGACTCAGCAAGTATTGCCTATAACTTATATCCCAAACCGTAAATTAAGGAGAAATTAAACTCTCATTTTAAATCATTAAATCATGCAAAGTATTAGTAGGTGTATAATTGTCAACACTTGGAAAACAAATTTTGTTATTATTAATAAAAATAATATCATGTAGTGATATTAAGTATTAACTATTATTTTGGCTAGTTGAGTGTGGGATACAATTTGTAGAATAGAAGATTGTTTTAATTATTAGAAGATTAATTAACTTTCATATTTGAATAATATTAAATGCAAATAATCATCAAATCTTTTAATATACAAATATTATTCATTTAACAAAATGATACTTGTACAGTCATTAATTTTGTTTGGATGCATTTACATTAGTAAACACGTATCTATACAAATGCCAGCTAACAACAACTTTGATTTTTTCATTTTACTTGTTCTAAACTTATTGTCATTTTATTACAAATGGAACAATTCAATACTTTACCAATTCTCTAAAATCAAAACCTTATTTATATAATTATTTAATTCCCTAATTAGTTATAATAAATCAAATCCCACTATGCTTCTTGACTCAAAAGAATAAGACACACATTTCCACTACATCAATTCGGGGTTAATTTTATTTTCCCCATGTCAAATAATATTATTGATATATTTTAATCCCTTATTAATAAACCGAATAAGCTTAATACTCTTCGTATTAGTCACACCCAAACCAAAAGCCACCTTTGACTCTTCTATTCATTTCAACATTTCTCCTTCATTTTTTGACCCTTTTTATTTAATTCATTGCCGGCTGAAGCCTGACTGCAAAAATATTCACATCTCCATATTTATGTATAAACACCAAAACAAACCCTACCCTGTCCTCTTCATTATCATCATCGATGATGAATATTTTTCCACTCTTTTTCACCGTCATTTTCTTTCTATTCATCCTTCGATTTCTCTCAAAAACATCCCTTTTCCACATCCTTTTAAACTGTTTCCGATCTCTGGAAGATTGTTTTCACGTGTATCAATCCTTCAAAGTTCCACAACTCAATCAAAACTTCCAAGAAAACCTCCTTTATCGTAAAGTCTTCACTTATCTCAACTCTCTCACTTCTCTTGAAGACTCCGAATTCACCAACCTCTTCACCGGCTCCAAGTCTAACGACATCACGCTCAACCTCGACGTCAACCAGACCGTCCACGACACTTTCCTCGGCGCCAGACTCACATGGAATCACCAGAACGGATTATCAAAAACCACTTTGGTTTTGAGACTCAGAAAGAAAGATAAAAGAAGAATTCTACGTCCGTATCTTCAACATATCCTCTCTGTAGCCGACGAGATTGAAGAAAATATGAAAGAAATTAGATTGTACATGAATTTGGAGAGTCAAAGTCAACATAATGGACGGTGGAGATCGATCCCCTTCACGCATCCGGCCACCATGGAGACAGTCGTTCTTGACACCGAAGTAAAAAACAAAGTCAAAGCTGATCTCGAAACGTTTCTTAAATCGAAACAGTATTATCACAGACTTGGTCGTGTTTGGAAACGGGGTTATCTTTTATATGGAGCTTCCGGTACTGGGAAATCAAGTTTTGTTGCTGCTATGGCTAGGTTCCTGTGTTATGACGTGTATGATATTGATCTGTCACGGGTTTCTGACGACTCTGATTTGAAAATGCTTTTGTTGCAAACGACTTCTAGGTCGTTGATTTTGATCGAGGGTCTTGATAAGTTCTTGAGTGAGAAATCAAGGGCTGTGAGCTTGTCGGGGATCTTCAACTTCATGGATGGGATCATATCTTGTTGTGGGGAGGAGCGTTTGATGGTGTTCACGATGAATGATAAGGATCAGATTGATGATCAAGCGCTGATGAGGGCAGGGAGGATTGATGTTCAAATACACTTCCCATTATGTGATTTTTCCACCTTCAAGATTTTGGCCAGCAATTATTTGGGCGTGAAGGATCACAAGCTTTTTGTTCAAGTTGAAGAGGGTTTTCAAAATGGGCCGAGTTTGAGCCCGGCCCAAATCGGTGAACTCATGATCTCGAATCGGACTTCGCCCACCCGAGCCTTGAAATCAGTAATCAATGCCTTGCAAAGATTGAATGAAACTGGGCCGGGTCAACCCGTGGATGAGAGAGTATTGTCTGGGGAAGGTAGCCAAACAGTAAAAGAATTTAAGAAATTGTATGGGCTTTTAAGGATTGGAAGTAGAAGGAAACAGGGCCCATTGGATTTAAGTGTGGCCCAGAAGGAAGGTTCAAGACATGAAGCTTGAAAGAAATATTTAGGCTTCGGGTCATTTTATAATGTCGAAAAAATATGACACAGCGAAAGTAGATAGGGATCATTCAAATATTTTTTCAATGTATGTAGGATGATTAAAAATTTTCTTATTATTATGGACCTTCTGTTTAATTCAAAGTTTGAATAGGTTATTGTTACATGATACCAAAATTTATTGCAACACAATTTTAATTTTTACAGATTCTACAATTTTCTTAATAATTCCTAAATAACATGTTAACGTAAATATACAAGAATCCTCAAACACAAAGTAAGAGCAAAACCCTCACCATCATCNCAATTTCGGCGCGCGACACGTAATTTCGTTAATATTTAAATGGAGGCATGAATATTAATTAATAATGAAATTCTTATACATGAATGGCTATAAAAAATGAGCAAACATGGTACATAGATGGATATATAAATTACGTGATGTGGTGGTGGAGATAAACTTCATGTCTACAATAGTGGATCATCTCCGCCCGCCAAAATCAGTTGACTAGTTTGCGGTAAAAGAAGGTTCACTTGTCCATTGTCATTGTCATTGTCATTGTGAATGTGCCATCTCAGAAACAACTCTTCTTACTGCTTCCTGGAAAGCTGATTCGTCCCATTCGTTTCCCTGCACTCAGCAATTTCGTAACTTTAATTTACCTATATCAACATCTGCAATCTATTTTTATACAAGAATTAGAAAAACTACATTCATTGTTTTGTATATTTAATTAGCCTTCGTTTTGCCTTGTTTAATAATTAACGATACAGAAGATTTTCATTTTTCTATTCCATTCATGCATCCTAGATCCTAGACGGAGTTTTATCTACAGATAAATACAAGAATTTAGGGGGATTTTTTAATCCTTATCAACTTCATCATGTTTCTCGCCACCAAACATGCATGAACTAAGAATCTGTACGGACAATCCGAAAGTCTCCCTTGTTAGCTCTCAGGTTTTTTTTTTTTTTTTTTGGCTTGAATTAAAAATATTTCTTGTATATAAACTCTTAACATTTTTTACATTATGAGAAGAAAAAGATTTAGGACATGTTTTTAAAGAACTGATTGTTATATATCCTTTATAGTGTTTTTTCTACAAAGCTTTCTTATTGAAGGTATTTTCAGCATTGGCCGATTAATTCACCCCAAAAAGATGTTGATTTTTGTGTTTTCTCTATAACGGTGCTAGACAAATCCTAGTATGATTTGTTTCTTTAATAAAAATGAAAGTTTAACATCGTTGTGATAAAGAATATGCATTACATATTTCATAATACATACCTGAATTCTCAATCTGAAGATTACATGATTAGAAGAACTTGATTCCGCTGTCCTGGTACTGGCTTCCATGGACACCAAGCTCACATCGTTAACTCGTTTCAATAATTCCAGTATGCGGATTATTAAATCCACCATAGAACATTCTGCTGTTACACTCACTCTCAAGTCGACAATTCTCTCTTCCGAGGTTGATTCAGGTACAGGAATAACAAGTATCTGAGGTCTTTGATTCGGAGAACCTCTTGCTTCTTCAGCACCCACTTCTTTGGCTACGGCAGCAGGAGCCGGAGCCGGAAAAATTTGGGCCTCCAATTTCTGGTTTCTTTCACGAAGTTCTGCCACTTTATCTTTCAATGTGCTCAAATACTCTCTTGTTTTAATAAGCAATGATGCTTTGTCTTTCTACAAAGTCCATTATTTATACATTACACTTAATAATATAAACATATATCTCTTGAAAATGCGTTAATTAAGCTATAGTTAAGTTAAAAGCATATCCTGGATGAAGATTAAGCTACTTAAAGAAAATATTTCATACCTTTGTTCCAGGTGGAAGTAGTGATCTGAGCGCCTGGAAGCTTTCATTGAGCTTCTCGCGCCTTTTTCGCTCTGATATCATATGGTGCAATTGAGTGTTGGTGGGGCGGTTTTGTAACGCATGTTCACGTCTCGCATTATTAAGCCTCCTATAATATGAAATCGCTCGTTTCAGCATACTTTGCGTCCGCTTTACCATTTGAGATGCTGGAGCTAAAGCTGAATTATACTTCTTGAACGCGCTCGGTTGCGGGTTTACTCGGTAATTGAGAGGTAGATTTGGCCGCTGGGGTTGATTTTGATGTTGATGTTGCTGAGATGATGATGAAGAAGAAGTAGGGGAAGTTAAAACAGCAAAAATGGCTCTTGTCATTGCAGCATGCTCACTCTCGGGCGTTGGTAATTGAATGTTTCGCATTTGAGCAAATGCTTGCATGGCTTGGTGGTGTGGACTAATTGTGGTTGGTAATATTGGATGCAATGAAGGAACCTCGTTGAGGGTATCTGGTATTTGGGATGTGGTTGGAATGTTGAATATGAGAGAGGAGTATTCTGGGCTATCCATGGATACAGATCTTAATGAGGATGAAGATGATGAAGGTCGATTGGGATCAGGCACTTGTCCTGGAATCTCTTGTGCTGCCGATTGTCGAGGGATTAAGTCCTTCGGGAACAAATTGCTCATCTCCGTTTCCATGTTAATCTGATTTTAGAAATGAGATTAAACCAAATTCAGCTTTAAGAATTTATTAATTAAGAATATCATGTTTCCCGAGATTAAAGAATGAAATGGCAATTAAAATGGATTCTTACTTGTGTCATACTGGACAAGCCTAGCTCAATTTCTCCACTCTTGCACGCCATGAATACTGCAGTCTGGAAATATTGAATGAAAAAAGAAAATTGTTATCTTTTTGCTTTGTATTCATTATATGTAAAGCGATCAGAATACGTGCAAGAATATTTCTTTATAGATAAAGTTGTCAAACCTTAATCCTTGCTTCCTGTGAAATAGAAACAATGACAATAAATTAGCCATAACAAATGTATTCTACAAAATTTAGCACAAATGCAGTTAACGTTCAACTCTTGCGCTAGTATATTAAATCATTACCCGATAAAATAGGCGCTGTGCATCATTGGATGCCAATCTCTGAAGGTCGGATTCATTCAGCTCAATGTAATGCTGACTGTTCTTGAAAGCCAGACCTGGAACACGGCTGCTACAGTGAAACAAGAAGGCACCCCTTTACAATACAGTTTATGTTATAATTAATATCGATCTATAGAAAAATTATATGTATGTAACATAATTTAATAAATTTCTATATATATGCTTACTCAGGTTCAACAACGCCGATAACTGATTTACGGTACTCATCGAAAAGCCTCCGAGATATCGTTCCGGACGACGGACTAGGTTGGCTGTTGTCTTCATGGTAACATCCATCCCAGAAGATCAAACAACTGGTAATTAAGAATCGAAAGACGGTCAGCTGAATCGATATATTGTCATAAAAAATGGAAAAAAAGTAAGAGGGAGAGTTGATATATACTTGGGTAATTCATAATATGACCATAAGCAAATATAAGTGCAGCCAAAGGACTGCATTACTGATCGGAGAAAGTTTGCTCGTGCTACATCGTCAAGAAGGAAATCAGTGTCCATGGATCACGTGCAGTTAGCCGTTGGCTAACTAGTTAACTAACCTAACCATCTGCACCACTGCTGGATCCTTTTCCTTCTGGATCATCATCTCTATGATCTCTTTAGCAGGCTATCTAATTTAAATAATCTTTTAGCTGATGAAGAAGACATGATTATAATGATGATGATCAGACCCGGAGAAAGTCTAGAAAAGTCATGTTGAAATTGTGAGAGATAGATGCGGCGTAAATTAAATATATAGCATAGTAGGAGAATGGAGGAGAACGCCAGTACTTAATTTAATTTTATGATATAAAAGAATAATCTGAAGGTTGCCAGAAGAGAGGAAGAAGAACCCACTTGGGAGTTTGAGGGAATTATTTGTAAATGGGAGCTTGAAAAGTAGTAAGAGAGAGAGATTAAAGAAAAACTTGAAAAGTATACGGAGCGGCCAGCCACTGGCACAGGGAGATGGTAGAAAGAAGAAGAAAAGTAATGGGTCAAAGTCCTCGCTCGCCACAGTTTGAAAAGAGTCAAGGGAGGAAGGCAGACTGTCTCTTTCCTCTTTCTATATTATTTCTTTATTAAAATGGTTTGTTTGCTCCTCTCCAATGCCCCGGTCTCCCTCAATGTATATATATATATATTATGTTATTTATGTAAATTTCATAAATAAATTACATGCTATATTTTAGATTAGCATATTGATAAGTTTTATTAAATTATATTTGTATTTATCTTTAGTAATTGACTTGTATCATCATAAATATTTGTTTTGAAAATAAAAGAAAGGTCAATCAATTATTAAAGAAAAAGTCGATATTTTTTTTTTTTAAAAGAAAATCTTAAATTCTCTCGAAATAACTCTATTTTATCTCTTATTTTAATTTATGATTTTATCAATCACATAACACTATACAAAAAGTTATTAAAGTAAGTTGTATCATGTGTTTGTTTATATAAAATTTAGAGATTGGTCTTTTATACAATCTAATGCCCATCTCCTAATTTAACAAGCAAAGTTGTAATACTTCAAATTGCAGAACAACTCAACCCTATTGGTCCTACATAAACTGCCACAGTCGGCAGTACTCTTGTGTGCGAACTGCAAAATCTTTGTTTAGGTTATTACAAATTAAGACAAGTCAGCTTTAAAGAGTCTTCCACTAGGAATTTCAATAAGATTTGATGGAATTAAATCAAGATGGTGGCTAGTTAGTTCGAATATAGTTGACACAGTATCACTACACTTATAATGGTATAAACTATATATATATATTTTTTTTTTTTTAATCGGAGTGTCTGGACCAACTTAAGCGCACCTCAACTAATCTATCAGGATCCTGAAATGATCCACATAGTAAAAATTCTAGCAACTAACCCTATTAGTAACCCTAAAAGGAACTCGAACTCAGGACTTCTTGAGTAATATACCTAAAAGTCCCTATCGAACCGCTTAACCACCAAGAGATAATTAAACTATACAATTCTATACATTATAAGTAGCGTTTTGCTTCTACAAGAACGCCATAAGGTTAAGGTAATAATTTTATTTATATAATTGTGAAACAAAATTGATTATTGCACGGCTATAAAATTAATAAATTGACTTGTGTATTATTTTTAATTGGTTATGATAGAAAAACTAAAATCGATTTGCGGGCTGGGCTTGATGCATGTCATCTATACTTAGGCCAATATGAACTTTAATATTATGATGAGGGAGCCGATTAGGAAAAAAAAAAAAAAAGACTATAAACAGGGATCACATCAACTTCGCTATAGGATTTTGAACATGAAGAATTAAGAGAGTAAAATTTAACCAGATTAATAGATATCAACTATATATACAACAAAAACTCTTAGATCTATATAATTAATTATTGACGCTTGATTTTGGACACCAACGACTCGCACATGGGAAACACTGAGCTGACTCAAGAGACACACGTGATGGATCCATGAGATTTGAATATGGAGCTGAGATTATATATTTTACAGAAAAATAAATAAAAGATTGGCAAGAGAGGGTTTTTATAGTGGTTCGGATGCTCAACAAGCGACTCCTACATCCACTGTTATTTTATTGCTCACTGACTATTTCTATGATTTTGCCCGTAATGTATACAAAGATGAAGAAATACAGTGTTTTACAGAGAGAAAGAATTGAAACTCAAATCTCAGCCCAGCCTCCCGCCTCCAGCCCCCCTTCTTCGTGAAGAGAAATGCCCATTTATTCACCCAAACACTCAATGTAATGAGTGTTTTGCAAGTTGCCTTGACACATGGAAGACTCTCGTCCATTCATCTCTTGAAAGGAGATATAGTTGATGAGAATATCTTTGGAGATATGGGCTTGACAGCTGGTACAAGAAGACATTAAATGAGCTGACATAGGCGTGATTTTTTAGGCACAACATTAATTTTGTTTCAAATGCTAAGCTTCAATAATAGGAGTATGAATAATAATGTGAATGACATTTTAATGAGTTATTTATGAAAACCCTCGTATGTTTTGCTTATTAATTGACCCCCTACTCGTATCGGAAATGAGATCCTAACCTTCATTCCATTAATCTTAATTAATATTAAAGTATAATTGATATTTTCAAGTTTTAAGAAGGATATTTTAGACTTTTCAACTTTCTAAGAAAACTCTAAGGGTGCGTTTGGATCGGGAGCATATAAGATGATGGAGATAATTTACAAGATTTCAGTGTTTGGTTTGCAAGTAATAAAATATTACGAGAATTTTTTATTGTAAATAGTGTTTACTGTTGGTAATGTGGGGGGTAATCCGATACCCTCCCCCACCCCTGCGATTAAAACATTATCGGAATAATATGATTTTTATACCCATTTTTCCCTTAATTAAAAATCATTTTGGACACAATTGCTCTTAAATGTCTTTCAAATAACAATTACCTAGCCCCCTTACATTTGAGAAATTAGCTAAAACATCATAGCCACAAAAAAGTTTAAAAGTCAACGAAATACCCCCAGCCACCCAAGACCACCGCTGGCTGTTACTCACCACTATCGGCCGCCGTAATGGTGCACGATTGGCGGGATCCGATCGATTGTGCGTCGGTTAGGCCTTTTTAGGCTATGGATCATAGATCCATGGCCGGAAACGACTAGATCTGGTTGTTATGATCCATGGCCGGAAACGACTAGATCTAATTGTTTCACAGCCACATCTTTGGCAGTGAAATGACTATAGAAGTGGCTTTGCCAGCAACCAAATATGGCCAGTCATGCGTCATTCCATTGACTGTAGGTGGCAGGCGACGATGGTGGCTGGCTACAGACAATGGCTTGGGGTGGGTGGGGGTGATTTTGCTACAAATTAAAGTTTTATATGACTGGGGTGTTTTAGCAAAATTTCAAATGTAGCAGGTTAAAAAATGATTCAAAAACCAAACACATTTTCTAAACGTTTCCAATAATTTTTAAGGTGATCTATCTTTCCGTTAATATAACATCTTAATAAAACATTAAATGATCCAAATGCCTCTTAAGTTTTTTCTTCTCTCCCTTATTTTAGGGTTTAGAGTTACGAGGGTAAAGAAGTTTTAGGATATCTATGTTAAGGGTTTTGAATTAAACAAGGGTTACGGTCAGGGGCGGACCCAGCCCCTTGTAGGCCTACCCTCACATTTTAAAAAAAAAAAAAAAAATTGTTTTTATAGACCCATAAAAAAATTCTATTAATATATATATCCAAACCTACTTTCAGATTAAAAAAATGAGAAATATTATACATATATTCAGACTCATAAAAAACTTGCAATTAATATATATATTCTAGGCCAACATCATATTAAAAGTTTAAAACTTTCTCCACTCTTTTTTACGTCCACCTGTTTTTTATGATTTTATCTAAAAAAATTTTTACTCTCTCATTCTCTCTTTCACTTTTTCTACGTTATTCGTTCTTAAAACATTTGAAGACTAAAATTGTTGAAGCTTTTATTAATCAAGGTGCCACAATTAGCTTCGTTTTCTGTTTTATCAGTTTTAGGTATGTGTATTGCTCATTTCATTTTAGTTTATTTTAGAGTTGAATCATGCTTATTTTTTGAAGGTTTTTTATTATAATTTTATGGGAAAAGACATGGATCTTGTGAGTTTGTTTTGTGTTTAAGAATGTTCATGCCTTCCCAAATTAAACCTTAACTATATTTTACTGAATGTTATTCTTCACCCTTCATCCATCACTTTCCTACATTTCAAACGTTACCGTTTGGCTGCTCAAAATTATTAAAGAAATTTGAATTATTATCTATGTTTATACTAAGAAAATTTTCCCCTTTTTTATTAATTCATATTAAAAGTTAAGTTAACGTTGACTTAATTTAAGTTTTAATTGACTTTAGCTTAGACTAGGCCTGATCAAAGTCATGAAAATTTATATTATAATCTTTGAAAGTAAAAAAAAAAAAAAATAATAATAATAATAAATAAAAAATTAAAAGAAAAAAAGAAAAAAGAAAAAATTCGTGTAAAACATTTTTGGTGGATTGTGATTGTTATAAACTCTTTTAATTATATTGGATTTAAGTGGATCGTTAGATTCTCGTGGTCTTTTGCTCTCTTTAATTTAGAGGTTTTTCCACGTAAAAATTTTCTTGTGTTTTCTCGTGAATTGAATGTTATTTTCAACATAATTTGCTCAAGGTTTTGCTTCTCATAGATTTATCCAAGTAGTAGAGTATGGTGTTATTGTATTATTTTCTTTCAGATTATTGATATTGTATTATTTCCTTTATTTAAGGTTTGATGATTTTTTACAAGTTTTGACTAGTTGTTTGACAAACAATAATGGAATCGCGGAGGCCTCTCTGGACAAAAATCTTGGATCCGTCATTGGTTACGGTCCCATTTTCGATACCAATAAAATGTCAACCAATAGCAAAACATATTGGTGGTTTCCTATAAATATCCTAATTATAATATCCTAATTATAATTGTATAGCGTAGGATTATATCGTTTTCATTTTATATTTTTTTTCCACACAAGTAAATGCGACTGCTATGAGTCTCTGATTGAGATTTGAGGGACCTTCAAATTTGAAGGACGTGGGCTATGACGCTACTCTATTTTTTTTTTTTTTTTTATTCTTAGCTTTTATTATCTCGTGATTTCGGTCTGATGCTTTTGTCCCCACAGCCATTGGGTGTGTTTTCATCTTCTAATTAATAACTCGTTTCACCCCTCTAAAACGCTTTAGAGATGTCACCTCAATATATAAAACATAATTAATCCATTACTCTTACAGTGGAACGACACTGCTCTTGATTCAATCAGCACATATGAGTGTGGCAATCGTTGACTTACTGTCTAAATATATCACTTATAGAAATTTGGGCTAAGATTCTTTAACATG